TGTGTCCATGTATATATATATGTGTATATATGTACATAGATGCTGCATGCGTATCTACCTACATATATATATATGTATATATATACATATATGTCTATATATACATAGATATGATGCCGGAGAGAAGCCCAAATCCGAATCTTTTTGGGGGCTATGGGGCTCTAGAACTGTAGGGCTCTAGGGCTACAGGGCGATTGGGCTATGGGGCTATCAGGTTATAGGGCTATAGGGCGATAAAGCACCCGGGCCCTCGGGCGCCCTTGGGCAACCCCGGGCACCCCCGGGCACCAGGGCACCCCTGGGCGCCCGGGCACTCGGGCACCCGGGCCAGCCACCGAAATCGGCGGCGAACCCCACCTAACCATACGAATCCGCCAGAACCCCTGCAGAGGCAAGCTCTGATTGTGGCGTGCGTGGTGGCGGTGGTGGTGGCGGGTGTCTGGGGTGGGGGGGGGGACGGGGGCAGAACGCTGCAAAGCTGAAACGCAAACGCGCATTGTTCATCTAGGCCTCGGATGCGGCGCCCCACCGAAGCCGCAAACAGCAAGGACACAAAAACATCATGTAAGACCCTCCGCGGGCCAAAAAACTCCAAACTAGAATAACGCCAAGAATGCCCTTCCAAGGTGCCAACCGACTTTCGTTTCCTGGCCATCGCGCGCACGTGCGTATATGGTTCAATCCCAGCCTGAGGCCCTCGACCGCACAGTCTGAACCGCGCGCCCCCTCTCCCACACCCCCCAGACACGCGCTGCCTCCCTGTGAACGGGCCCTGCCTCCGCGCCGCCGTCATCCACGAGCGCGCGGTTACTGGAGGGACACCCTGTTCTCGAGACCGAAGAACATGGAGGATCTTGCCCGCGCCGCGGACTCGCGAGGCCTGCGACCAACTTCGTCGCTCTGGCAGTGGGCCTCAGCGCTGCGTCGCACGCCCTGGCACTCGCGCGCGCGCCCGAGCTCCCGCCCAGACCCCTGCGCCAGGAGGCCGCGCGCGACCTCGCGCCCGAAAGCTTAAGGCCACGGCCCCGCGGCATGCCTCCCTTCCCATATGTATGTGTATATATATATATACATACATACATACATACATACATACATACATACATACATACATACATACATGCATACATACATACAAACATACATACAATATACGCCTACGCATACACATACATGTACACACACATATACACATACACATACATATACATATACATGTACACATACATATGTGTGTAAATATTATACAAAACACAGACACACACCAACCCACCCATCCACCCACGCACACACACACACACACACACACACACGCAGACACACCACACACGCACCACCAACCCCAACCCACCACACACACAAAATAAAACACACACACACACAGCTCCCCCTCCCAACCCTCCCCACGAACACACACACACACACAGACATACACACACACGTGCGGACGCACGCACACACCACACATACACACCATCACCCCACCCACCCACACACAAACACACACACACACACACACGCACACACACACGCACACGCACACAAACACAAACACAAGCACTAACACACACACACACACACGCAAACACACACACACACATGCACACACGCACCAATTCCAGGCTGCTGTTCCCCAAGAACAAGCACATGCGAGGGCGTGCGCCTCCGCGTCGCCACCATCACCGAGCGCGCGGCGGTTGTGGGAGGAAACACATTGTGTTCTAAGCAGCAGCGCCGCAGCCGCGCGAGGCCTGCGTTGCATGCGTTTTCGCATGCAACGCGGCGATGCTAAATCGAAAGAGGAGTTCTGAAAACCAATGTAACATTTCATATTCTGGATGCAAGAAGCGACCATCTGAACGATGAATATGTGCAAACACACGCACAAACGCCATTGCGCGGGGCGCACAAGGGCGACCCGCCCGTCTGGGCGACCCACCCACTCGGGTCCTTCCATTCCACTTCTTGCTGCTGCTGTTTGTCCTCGTCCTCGTCTTTGCTCATTTTCCATTTTTTCTCCTGCCCATCCTCCTGTTCACCCGCCACCTCCTCCTCCTCCTCTTCCTCCTAGTCCCTCCTCCTATGTACGCAGTTTTCTCTTCCTCTGCGTAAAACGCGATGGCCTGTGTGCAAGCGGAAACAAAAAATTGGCACCATGGGCGGGGTGGGAGGGGCGGCAAATATTGGAGCGAGCGCCGCTTCTGACCACCGACAGGCAGCGAGCGACTGATGGCCGGAGCGTGCAACGGAGCGCCAGCTGCATTACGTCGGTGGGCGAACGTTAGTTCGCCCGTCTCCGAACAGTGCGGAAGGCGGGCTAAGCATTCCTCCCCTTGTCCGTAGCACAGAAGTGATGTCTCCTTTTCTGGAGATATTGTGCCCGGAACATGATCAGGATATCGATCGAGCACTCCACAAGCTCAAACTCCTTCTCTGAGGATCCCAGATGATCCCTGGCGTTTGGGCAGGGCGTCCTCTCGAGGCCGAGACTCCTTGAAGAATACGTGCTAATAAAAAAAGATAGTAACAAAAATAATAATGAGAATGATAATGTTCAGTGTAGTAGTGGTGTTCTGTTCGAACCCCCCAAGCGCACATACACACACACACGCGCACACACACACACGCACACGCGCACACGCACACGCACACGCGCACACGCACACGCACACGCACACACACACACACACACACACACGCAGACACACACACACACGCACACGCACACGCACACGCACACGCACACGCACACGCACACGCACACGCACACACAACACAACACAGGACAGCACAGCACAGCACAACACAACACAACACAGCACAAGACGACACAGGACGACACAAGAAAACACAACACAATGCAATATAACACAACAACATAATACAACACAACACACGTCATCACGACACAACACAACACAACACAACCTAAACACACAAACAAACAAACAATCAAACACACACACACACACAAACAAACAAACAAACAAACAAACAAACAAACAAACAAACAAACTAACAGCAAAAATATGCGATCGCGTTCCCGGGGCTGCGATCCCTCGTGGAAAAACAATAGGAGCATCGTTCTGGAGGCCACGGCCCTTTGTGAAGCCGCAGGATATGCGCTCCCGAGAACGCGATCCCTTGTAAGTAAGAAACTCCACCAGGAGGGTCTCGGAGCGCCTGAGAGTCTTTCGGAACCACTGCTGGGAGTATTCGCGAGGCCGTGGGAGCGCCTGGGAGAGCCGGGGGGGCACCTGGGAGCGCTTCGGAACTCATGAGTGTCTCTCAGAGTTCACGGAAGCGCCTGGGAGCGCCCTGGAGCGTTGGTGAACGCGTGGAGGCGCCCGGAAGTGCCTGGGAACGTCTAGGAACGCTTCGGAGCGCCTGGGAGCGCTTGGGAACACGTGGGAACGCGTGGGAGCGTTTGGCAGTGCTTGGGAGTGCCTGGGAGCGCTTGGGAGGGAGCGCCTGGAAGGCTTGGTGACGTTTGGGAGCGCCTGGAAGGGTTTGGGAATGCCTGGGAGCGCCTGGGAGCGTCGGCAAGCATTTGAGAACGCCTAGGGGCGCCTGGGAGCGCCCGGGAGCGCTTGGCAGTGCTTGGGAGAGTTTCCTGACAGCACCTGCGAGCACCAGATAGGGCTTGAGAGCGGCGCTGGGCACATGGAGCATCCGAGAATGCACAGGAGCGCCCAGGAGAACACCAGAGCGCTTAGGAAGGCCTGGGAGTGCCTGGAGGTTGGCATGGGAAGGCCTGGGAGCGCTTCGAGGCGCTTGGAAGCGCTGGGAACATCTGGGGGCGCCTCTGCACGCACGACACGAGCTGAGACCGAGACCGACTTTCCCGTCGGGGTCACTTCGTTCTTACCACCCAGCCTCCGACACCTGCACCGGTCCTCGGCCCAGGATCGGCCCGGCGGGACCAATGTAGATCACTGGAGGCCTCCCAAATGGGGTCCGAGTAGATGAGTCGAAGGATCGCGCCGCATCGCCGATACATCGCCGATGTATCGGCGATGCATCGGCGATACATCGGCGACGTCGTCGACGCATCCGCGACGCCAGCGTGGGGAAAATTGGGCTCCAGCTCGAGCCCCATTCTAATCGGACCCCGTCTAGGAGGCCTAGAGTCACCTGCACTAGTCCGCACCTGACGTGGCGCATGTACCCCCAAACTTCCGATGTCGTGATGCTGTCAACAGAGCGGACCCTCAAGAGTCCTGACACCTTCCCTGGGGCTGGCTTTTCACTCCGCGACTCGTTCCCTGACGGCCCCGGGGCCCGCCAAGGGCCCCCGGGAGGCAGAACATCGGCAACAAAGGTGGTCCGTGGCAGGGCCAGGGACGGGTGGCTCTCGGGGCAAAACTCGGACCTCCGGCGGCCCTTCGGGAACGCCCTCGGCAAGGCGCAGCTGCTAGAGAGCGCCACGTGGCGAGACAAGCTTCCAAGAGACAACAGAAGCTGGAGAAAATGTCCGAAACCTATCCGCTCTGAAATGCGAAGATATGACTGGTTCAATCCGCATCGCAAAAGTCTCGCCGACTTCCTCTGGGATAATCAGCTCCTCGTCCAAGATTCACTTTTGATGGTCCCAGTGCCCGGGGAAAAAAAAGAAACCAACAGAAAACAAGCGCCGAAATCTAGGAACAAACATCGTTTGACAAGAATTGCCTTCTTGCGGGGTCGGCCCCTCTGGCGGGGTTGGACATGTGTGCACAGATTTTGGGGCGAACCCTGCCCATGGAGCCAGCGACGCTGGTTGCACCTTGCTCCTCGGACTGTTGACGCCAGCGTGCCGTTGTACATACACTCATGCACGCGATCTTCAACCAATATGCCGTCTAGGCAGGGCTCCTGTCGGTCTCTGTCTGTCTGCCAAAAAACTCAAACCGTCGGAGGTATCCTGTCGAAGGGCCCTGAGCCGAGCCACCTAAAAAGGCGCCCTGGTGGGCCCTTCCGGGACTGGGCGGGAGGCCGCGGGGGGCAGCCGAGCGCCGCGCCATGGACACGGCCGCGCCATGGCAGGCCAGGGTCGCGCAGTCCTGGGGGGCGATGGTGGGACGCGCAAAGACATACGAGTGCTGGGAGGTTCCTTAGGTTTTGTGCGGCCGCAAAATGACTCCAAGAGGAGGGGCCGATTTCGGTCGGTTTCGACCCGCTTGTGACCCAACATGTCTTGCGACCCCCTTCTTGCACGCATTTTTGCACTAGTGCGTTTTTGCTGCTTTTGATGATATGTGTTGCAAACCGTTGGGAAAAATGATTTGGGAATTCGGAATGTGAGCTTCTCTGCTTTGTCTGGTTGGGATGTGAATGTAAGTTCGGTTGGAGTGTGAATCTCCTGTCGGTCGGAACTCGGTTCCCCCCCCCCATCGAAAGCATGACCTTCCCTTGGATGCGCGCGGGAGGTCCCCAGGGCCTCTTCCTCGTCCTCCTCCTCTTCCTCCTCCTTCTCCTTTTCCTCCTCCTCATCCCCTCTCCTCGTCATCCTAAGCCAGTTCGGTTCGACTCTGATTGGATCGAAGCCCGAGCCTCGCGCAACCCCGCCAGCCCATCGAGAAACGACGCCCAGACGAGTTGCCCTGATCAGGGATGTGGAGGAGAACGCAGTGGATCAAGGGCTGGGCAAGCGGTAGTAAGGCAATAAGAGGGGGACGACGGAGTGGGGGAGGAATCGGAGGGGGAGGGACAGGAGGGCAGCAGCCCCTCAAAGGCCTCCTAGAGGCACCCAAGAGGCCCTCAAGAGGCCTCCAACAGGCCCGCAACAAAAAAAAATAGGAGGTTGAAGGGGGTTGGGGGGCCCAACCATAAGCTTCGCCTCCTGAGGCGAAGCCCATGTCCAACTTTGTTATACCGTAGTAGCGATAGCCCCAAAAGCAGGAGACTGTCGCGTGAGCGACGGGCCATGTCAAGCGAATCTGTTTTCGGTCTCAATGGCAAGTGGCGTGCCTCGCGACGAGGCGCAGTCATATGTTGGCGGCCGGCTGTCTGTGCACAAACGGCCGCGGACAAGCGCTCGCCATCTCTCCCCTTTGCCCCAACCTCCTTTCGAATCGGGGGGGGGGGGGGGCGAAGCGTAAGTCCGCCGCCAGCCGCACAGCAAAACACTATATTGCACAAGGTAGGCAGCAACAGGCGGGCTCAACAAGGAAGGTTGACCCGCGGGCAAGTTCCCTTGCAAGCAAGTTGCCTCGCAGGCAAATCACTTTGCATATGGCTGCTCCTCAAGCGGCTCAGGCGATCTTGTCTGGCCAGCCCTGTACGGAGCGTGCACTTTGAAGTCATGTTTGAAGGATTGCGTTCCTCCCATGACATGTAGGAGCACGTGCCTGTCGATGCTCCCTTTTGTCGCGAGTGCCACGCCACTGCGCACAATCCGCGATGCCTCGCTCCATCATCTGTCGCATCCAACGGATGTGTCCCAAAAGTGTTCACTCAGTCGGATGATTCTGGTCTTTGCTTGACAAGGACTTGAAGACAACTTATGCATCGATGGTCAGAGTGACCCCAGCGCTCAGGCCGCCCATCTCAAGTATATCCTTCAACTGAGTGGGTGTCAGCGGCCCTGCGTGGAGCTCGCGCAGAGTAACTGTCGCGGGATAACAGTCCTCCAAATTGTGGGCTGCTGCCAGTGTTTCCGCTGAACAGCTCGCGCGGACCTGCGAGCGATGAGACGCGCAGTGCGCGTCGACAAGATGGGCGACGGGCTTGCCAACATGAGTGCCCACGCCGTAGCAGGCTTGCCCCGCGAGCGCCGCGGCCTCGCCCTCGGCATCTCCGCTTAGACGCCGGTGGCCGGAGTCGCTGTGCAGGTCGACCTCGCCCGTTGGAGTCATCGCAGGCGATCTGCGCGAGGCAGGCCTGCATATTTCTGGCGATCGCGTTCAGTCGTCGCACTTGCAAGTTGGTGGGTCCTTGGACACGCTGTAGAGATGCAACATATACCATTAAACGCACCTGCGTGATGAGGGCGTGAGCCAGGGCGCCTCTGAAGCTGACAAACATGTCAGCGACAATTTTCGATGCCTCGGCGTCAGCGTCTGCGCCGGCGAGTTCACGGTGCCGGATAGGACGGAGCTGTTTTATATATTCGTCTGGATCAAATGATACATTACCGTCGCCGTCTTCTGTGTACCTCAATGCGCAGTTGGCGCGTGTGTTTGTTGAGTTTACACTCGCCAAAAGCATCCTCAACGCACTTGACGCACCTGTCGATAGTGTCCTCAGTACTGGCCACGCCAATGTCATCAACGTGCTTGGCTTTATGGTTAGAGCTTCCCTCGAACTCCTCATCATAAGACGTGGGTTTGAGACCGAACCCTCTCGCGGTCTTTCTGAGCTTCAGTGAGAAAGCTCTCGGTGCGCCCCTGGTGCCGGTGCCTGGTTCGAGGCGCCATCGGCAGTGTTTCGACTCGTCGTAGCGTTTAAATCCTGGAGAGGATCTGAGCACAGGTGTTGACCCAGGTGGCAATGTAAAGTACACCACGCCGCGTTGTTTTCCACCAGTTGCTTCGGCAAGTTCCTGATAGGTGAGTCCTTTCAGGAAAGCCATGCTGCTGTCAAGGGAAGCAATGATACGCTGCTTCTTGCGCGCTGCCGCGCCAACGAGCAATCCCCGACTCGACCGCCGCGCCGTTCCTGAGGAAGTCTCCGCGTTGAAGGCTTCGAGGCCCATGGGCCCGAAGTGCCAAGCGCAATCTGATGTTGCGCTCCATCTCGCCCTTCTCGTTCCTGACGAACGTTCCATGTATATGCGCATCTCGAAATCATGATGTTTGACGATTTTGACCTATCTTGTATGTTGATTCACTCGTTGTCAAACCATTTCTTGCGTTCAGTATACAGGGCTTTGGATACCTTGACTGACTTCGCCTGGATTTCGGCCTTCGCGAGGAGGTCGTCCTCCTTGACTACTGCAGCTCGTTTAGCGGCAGCTGTCACATTTTCTCGCATGGCGGTCGCGCGGTCTAAATCCAAGATTCTGCGTTGTTCTTCGGATATGACATTTTTTCACATGTCTGCAGCGAAGCAGAATTGTAAATATTGCCCGTGCTCGCCAGGAGTCGAATCCATATCTGTCGTCTTCGTCGGTGGGACGCAGTGGGGCGCAGGCAAGTGCCCCCGCTGTTCTTCAACTACTGTGACCATCACGCTGTCGTCGGTGATCATCCGCGCGGGTGCAGTGTAGAGGTTGTCTATTGGATATGCCTCCAGCTGTTCTCTTTCATCTAGCAGTTCTGTGTACCGCGCCTCCATGATATGCGCCTCGAGATCCGCTTCGGAGTCATCGTGAATGGTGGGACGCCGCCCGTCTTACTGCGGTGGTTCGGCTTCTGGGGCTTCTCTGGCGTCGTTGTCTTGTGTTGGTGCGCCAACCAGCACTTCAAACTTCGCCATGTCCCGGTCGAAGCCCGCTTGAGGTTTGGGACTTCAGGCACTGGATGACCCCAGGAATGTGCTGATCCAATTATATCATATGTTTAGGGCAGTGCCTCGGGTTTCGTAATCGTGGAAGCCTGGGTTCACGTCGTTGTCATAGTGCGCCAATGTACAACCGTCTGCATAAACCACCGGAGGTAGCTCGTGAAAACTCTTTGCTAACCTGACAGAGACTACATTCTCGATGCGACAGAAGTTCCTGATGGGGTATTGACGAGATACATGTACCTTAGGAGATAGTCGGCTCGCACTTGTCATCTGGGGCATTCCCTGCATGGTCGGGAGGTTACCAAAATGTCATAGCAGGTCGCCCCGCAGGTAGACTGGCTACGAATGTCAACCCAGTTCGAAGTGTTCGAAGTGCTGCGTTGCCCGAGCCAATTTTTCGAGCGATCAAAACTTACATATATAGTGAATGTCGTGCGTCGCCGCACTGGGCTAGACATCGAGGCCCCCCACTCTTATGAAGACTTGACCCCTGCCGGGATCATGTCGTGCGACCGGGGAAAATACATTCCAGCCCCCCCAGTCGTCCCCTGTAGTAGTGGGACGATGATAATCAACCAGATCTCCATCGTCATAATAATTCTGACCAGTGATATTAATCTTGGTCCGTAATGCACGACTTGCTCACGCTACTGCAATGGCTTGAGAAATAACCTTAATGCTTACCCGGCGGATAGGTCTGTTCTCGGCGGCGGTCGGATGTTTCCGTCTGCTGTCCGTGGCCCAGAACAAGCAAGTCGGGTAGCATCGCCGGTCGCCGTCCGAACAGCGCATTGCATGGAGACGCCACATTGTGAAGAGGTAAACGAGCTGGCGGCAAATAAAGCCTCATGCAGTAGACGTGTGAACACAAGAGGTATGTCAAACCTGTTACATTCAACCTCCATGACGTGAAGTAAGTGTCGTGGTATACCACTTCTGGCTTCAATGGTCGTAGCGTGTTGTCCACGCGCACGCATCCTCAGCTCAGTGCCTTTTGCCTTCAGGACTGCCTTTGTGGCGTCGTCGTTGAATGCACCTTCCCCGCCGGAGTAAAGGGCTTTGGCGGGGGCGAATTGCATCCAGCACTGATGATACGCATCTAAGATGCTGCTTTTACCAAGCTCAGCCTGACACTGTCCAGACCAGCCTAGGTCAAGATGAGTATCGTCTTGAGCTCTTTTGCGTGAAACCACCGCAAGTGTAGTTTTCGCAACTCTCGCGTTACCTCGCTTGGGTCAAGGCTGCGTAAGTTCTGCATGCTAATTTGCACATCGAACCTTGACCAGTCTGGAAGCCTTGGACGAGCAGCAGGGTTACCCGCAGGTGGTGGTGGAAGCGGATCCCCTCCTGTCGCCCTCGTCTAGCCACTATTTGCGGTAGCCGTCTATGATCGTCCGAGCTGCCGGCTCCGCTCGAGGCAGGTTGCCCCGCAGCCGGTTCAGCGGCATGTCTGCCTATTGTGATGTCGCGGCTGCTGGCGCCCGCTGCTGGCCCAGCTCTGGAGCCAGGCCTCGGAACTCGTAGACGCGCAGTTTGTTTGGCGGCTGGTGCCTCGCATGCAGCTGCCGCCGCAGGTGGTGGGGCTGCCGGCTTGGCTGGAGCCGGAGGCCCATGT